AGAAAGAAAGAAAGAAAGAAAGAAAGAAAGAAAGAAAGAAAGAAAGAAAGAAAGAAAGAAAGAAAGAAAGAAAGAAAAAGAAAATGAACACTCATCAAGAAAGCAGCCCAGAGTAAAATGTGTTTTAGTAGGGGTTGGTAAAACTGTCATTTGTCTTAAAAAAACAAAACAAAAAAAAACAAAAAAACAAAAAACAGAAAATAGAATGGGTCTCTTTATATGTAAGTCCAGGCATAGAGAGGTAACTCTGTGCCTAAGAGCACTTACCACTCTTTCAAAGGACCGGAATTTGGTGCTCAGAACCCACATGATGACTCAATCATTCATAACTATAGCTCCAGAAAATCCAATACACATTTATTACCTCTAAGAGCAGTAAGTGCACATATGTGGCACATATATGCAAGCTGTGCTAGTTGGGTTTTGTCAACCAGAGACATCTGGGAAGAATAATGTCATTTGAGGAATTGGTCTCATCAGACTGGCTTGGAGCAAGATATTTGGGACATTTTCTTGATAACTGATTAATGTGGGCAGTCACAGCAAGAAGCATTCTTTCATATCCTCTGCTTCATTTTCTGCCTCTAGGTTCCTGACAAGGCCATTCCCTATTTTTCCTTCCTGGTGCACTATAAGCTATAATCTGAAATAAACCATTTCCTCCCAAGTTGCTTATGATCAGCATGAGAAAATAAACTAGCACACAAGCAAAGTAATCATACACATATGATAAGAATAATTATATTAAAATATACATTATATAAAAGATCAATCTGTATACCAAGCCAAGGCTACAGGCGGAGAGGAAGGTGCTCTCGCGTCCTCTGTCTGAGACATGCACACAAATGAAAGAGAGGAATCCATGAGAGGGATTGCCAACATGTTCTCTGATCCTTGGGTCTGGATTCTGCAAATGTGCACAGTAGATGATGTGAGCAGTCTGCTAGACATAACCTAAAAAACAGCCATGTCAAAGTTCACTAACATCACAGTTTTGCAGAAAGTACCTTAGTTCCCTTAAGTGAAAGTTGAAATTGTTAAGATGGAGAAACTATAGAAATTCTTATACTCAGAACAAATTTGAAGAACAATGATTCAACAGCTCTATTTCTTTTTATATATTTCTCTGCAAATGATACATGCATCCATCCTCTCTGGAAAAAAAGCAATCATTAACTCTTACTGTGTCAGGCACTGTTGTGGACTCTTTATTTTATAACAACTATTTGTCCTCATTTACTTAGGAGGTAAGCAAGGCACACAGAGTAAATAACTACCCAAATTATTTTGGGATATTAGAATCAAACTTTGCACTGAGGCAGTTGATTGCTTTCAGCCACCCTATTTTCCTATCTCTTTCATTCTTGGTGAGTACCCTAAATTCAAACACTGGAAGGAAAATGTGACAAAATGTTTGTTGGAGGCAGTACTTGATGGATATAACCCAAAAGAGACTACAGTATCTGCAAGCCCAAACACACACACACACACACACACACACACACACACACACACACACACACACACACTTGGTCTCCTAAGCAACAGGAACAACTCCAAAAACCATTTTGAAGCTAGTATTCATCTCTATTTTCATGAACTAAAAATCCCAGAACTGGACAGTTCATAATGAAAGAATTAGAGTTCAGAAATCTAGGAAAATCTTGCCTTAAGGGAGTCTGTAAGTTATGAAAGTCCAAGGAGTAGGATATACTAGCAGAGAGCAGAACCAGGAGGCTCAAGGCACAGACCTTGAGACTCAGAGCAGCAGTGCTCAAAGGAGAGGCCCTTTATTGGACCCAGTTAAAACTCCCAGGAAGAACCCCATTATGACAAGATCTTCTGTGTTCATGATGGTGACCCAACTCTAAAATCTGCACCTCCAAACTCATCACCTCAGCCTCCTACAAAGGGCACAAGAACTTCAAACTGTGTCTTAATTATCAGACTTCCTTTTCCTCCACTGCAGAAAACTGAGTTTTCCCTTTCACATATATAAATATTCAAAAATATCCAAAGAGCATATAGGTATATTGCTCCAACCAATAAGCAAAGCAGAATTGTTTTGATATGAATGGGAAACAAGTTTGCTGTTCGAATTGCATTATAATTGAAGCATAAGATATTCAACATACAATATTTCCTTTTCTCCAATTTCAGCCACCTGATTTGGGATTTGATACTGCACTAGCTCCACAGTATCTCTCCCCCAATGAAATGATTTTCTTTGCATACGTACCTCTGAATGAACCTAAAAACATGATATACAAAAGGAAGTTCAAAAATATTCACATTGGGAAAGTGATAAACTACAGGTAATTGATGATTTCTTCATGCTTACTTAGAATACATACTGGTTTTCAGATCTAAAAGTATAACCTACTTTTTTAGGATTTTTTTGTTTTAATAAGTTTTTTAATATCTTTCCTGACAAAATACATTTTGAGACAGAATCTCACTATATAGTCTTTGCTGACCTAGAACTTTCTATGTTGGCCAGGCTGGCCCGAATTTCTCTGAGATCTCCTTACCTCTGCCTATTACTGGATTTCCTTGGCTTTTGATTATCTGTGTGACTATGAGATTCAGTTTGTCAGGTTTCCATAAGGAAGAAAAAAGTCACTTAACAGAAATTATATCTTGAAGCAACTAAATTCTGCTTTATGTCTGTAATTAGTTTGTGAGTAGAAATAATCTTTCTCAAATGCCTTAATCATTCCATTTATTTATTTATTTTTCTTTTATTTTGAAATTTTTATTCACTCTGAGGGTGTGTGTGTGTGTGTGTGTGTGTGTGTGTGTGTGTGTGTGTGTGTGTACAACACATGTGGCATCAGATGACAACTTTCAGGGATTCAACTACTGAGCCATCTTGCTGGCTGCTAATTCTACTTAATTCCCTTAAAAATTTAGAAACAAGACACATTCCTGATACTCTTTAGTGGGTCAAGAATTGTGTTACACTTCCCTCTTCTGTAAAGTGTACTAGCCTGTGCACTCGAGGGGATTTTCTTCATTTTCTTACACCTCTTACACCTTCTTCCTAGGGAAGAAGGGCAGGGGGAGGAGGAAGGCAGAGTTGGAGAGTGAGAATCCTCAGACAGCCCTGATTGACTTTCTGAAGCCTGTGTGCAAGTTTCTGATACCCAATACTCTGTGGATTACTGGTTTTGCTTTCCATGAAATAAAGTTCAGAGAATCAGGTGATGCAGTAGCCTGCTTCTTCCTGTTCTCTGATTGTTCCCAGGTTGACTGGGCTGCCAGTGTCTCTAGTCACTGTCTTGCCGCAGTCTTTGTATTAGAATGTCTTACAGGCTGTGGTCCAGCTAGTCCAACAATCTACTAATGGAAGGTTCAATAATCCAAGAGCTGTTTCAGCCCACGAGGCTGGATGTCTCAGCAGGTCTTCAGTATATTCCAGAATTTCAAAGAAGTACACTCTAATGCCAGGAAGGAATTGCCAATGAGAGCAAGAGCAAGCAGGCAAAAAAGCTAAAATATTTCTCTTCCATGTTGTTTGTTTATAAAGGCTGCAACCAGAAGGTGTAACCCTGATTAAAAGTGTATCTTCCCACCTCAAAAGATCCAGATTAAAAGTGAGTCTTCTCACTTCAAATTATTTAGTTAAGAAAATAATCCCTCACTGGTGTACACAGCCACTTGGGTTTTAGTTGAATACAGATGTAGTCAAGTTGAAAACAAAAGCCATCTCATCTCCACTGGACTCCACTCTACAGCACTGCTATGTGGAGGATAAAGTCTCAGCATGAGTCTCAGTGGCCACAAATAATATTCAAAGTATGTCTATCGAATGGCTATAAGGGAAGAGACGAATTAATATTTTCTTTTCCTGTAATTGAAATAAAAGCAAAACTTTTGTTTCCCTTTATATTGTAATCTTTTATTGCTAAATTCTTTTAATAATTCTGGTGCTTTTTCTACATATTCCTTTAGATTTTCCTAGTAGGCATAGATATACTTCTAAGTAAATAATCACATCACCTGCAAATAATTTCTGCTTCTTTCTTAACATTCCTAGCATATTATAGTTTTTTCCTATTACAGTCTGCAGGTCTAATAATAAGCACCTTAAGTAGAAACTGGTTTCCTTGTTGCTCCTGATTTTTAAAAGAATAGTTTTACCCGGGCAGTGGTGGCGCACGCCTTTAATCCCAGCACTCAGGAGGCAGAGCCAGGTGGATCTCTGTGAGTTCAAGGCCAGCCTGAGCTACCAAGTGAGTTCCAGGAAAGGCACAAAGCTACACAGAGAAACC